AATTTGGAACTGATATTACAGATTTGAGCAAGGGGAGTTACAAGAGCAACTGAGCCAAGCAAGCATTTTCCAGTGCCAACAATATGAGAGATGAAAAAGAGAGATGGTTTGGGAGTCATTATTTGATGAGTGCACTAAAGCAAGGCATGTGTCTTTGTATTTGTCTTACAACACATTTGATTTATATGCAGGTAGGGAATAAATAACAAAACCAAAAATAATGAAAAAGCTGAGGACAAGGATAGCTACAGTGCATAGTGAGCTTGATATATCTTATGATAGAATCCTTATCCAGCCTTGATTACATAGAATCATAGAATGGTTTGGGTTGGAAGAGACCTTTTAAGATCATCTAGTCCAACTCCCCTGCCATGGGCAGGGACATTTTTCACTATATCACGTTGCTCAAAGCCCCATCCAACCTGACTTTGAACATTTTCAATGATGGACATCTACAATGTCTCTGGGCAACCTGTTACGTGTCCTACCATCCCCATTGTAAAAAATTATTTCCTTATATCCAATCTAAGTCTATCCTCTTCCAGTTTAAAACCACTGCCCCTTGTCCTGTCACTACAGGCCCTGGTAAAAAGTCTTTATTCATCTTTCTTACAAGTTCCCTTTATATATTGAAAGGCCACAATAAAGTCTCCCCAGAGCCTCCTCTTCTCCAGGCTGAACAACTCCAACTCTCTCAGCTTTTCTTCACAGACAAGGTGCTCCAGCCCTCGGATGATTTTCGTGGCCCTCCTCTGGACCTGCTCTAACAGGTCCATGTATTTAGAAACAATTGCCCCAAATTATATGTGGCCTTTTAAAGTGATGTCTTTAAAATCTCCTGGACATACTGGAAAATTAGCATATGTTCAAAGCTGTCACACCATCCATACTTCTAATGTCATTAGAAAGTTTCACTGGCCTCATGGCCTTCTGTTTGGCCCTACCATAATACATATTTTGTACTTTATTTTTCTGATTCTCCAAAATTGGATTTTCAAATTTGGAAGAAAAATACAGTCACAGAAGAAACTAGGAAAGGAAAACAAAGGAAAAGATGAAATATAGAAACAGGAGAAAGGTCAATTCAGGAAAAGAAGGGAGTGAAATGACCAGGTTGGCACCATTGCCAAGCTTTATAAACTGACTATTCATCCCTTTTTTCCTTCTTTTTTTAAACTACCCTGAATACAGGTAGCAACATAGAAATCTGACTTGCAAAAGTACATCATGATACTGCATGACTGGGCAATAAGAGGACAGATGAAACTGAATATAAATTTATGCAGAATAATTCAAGTGCTGGAAAAAACATACCAACTATAGATACACACTGATGGGTTCTGAACATTACCATTCAGGAATGAGTTCATAGAGTTATAACAGGCAATTTTATGAAAATGCCACCTCAGTGTTCAGTCATAGTCAAAAATAAAAACAGAATAATCCACAACACTATAAAGGAAAAGAGAACAAACTAGGAAACTCATTATGCCATGGGATAAATCTGTGATGTTCTCAGATCATGTGCAGCTCTGGTCTCATCATTTTTAAAAGGATACAGAATAAAGAGATACAAAGAGTGACATAGATGATCACAGGCATTTAAGGACTTCTAAACTGTCCTCAGCCTGAAAAATATCTTAAGGGCCGCTATGGGAACAGCCTTTAAATTCTTAGGCAGAATGAAGAGTGAAATTGTTCACACGCCTTTTCCACTATTAGGAAATACCAAATGAAACTAGTAGGCGACAGGTTCAAAATAAGCAAAGTTCTTCACACAATCCCTATCACATTGTGGAACTCTGACGCAAGATTGTGTCGGCACTCAAAATCTGCATAGATCCAAAAGGCAATTAAAAAACTCAGAGAAGAAAAATCTATATATTAAATACAAAGTAATGATGTGGCTCAGGAAGTCCTTGGACTGCCTACCAGAGAAAGCTGAGAAAATACGCACATCCAGTTATCATCAGCATTTCATCTCCTCTGTCCTAGTAAAACCTCAAATTCCTCCTTTGGAAGGTGGGAGAGGGGTTTAAGAAAAATAAAAGTGAAAGAAATCAACTAATTACCAAAAAGAATAAAGTGAAATGGAATGGAGGGCTTTAGGGGTCAGATGATAAAAAGTATAAAACTAGGGACTACGAGGCAGACATGCAGAGCCCCTTGGCTGCTAGCCACAGTCAAAGATAACACTGGGCTAGAGAGACCTATCATCTGAGCTGGTCCAGGCCTTCCTGGGCATGCACAAACAGTTAGCCTAAAAAAGGAGAACATATTTTAGGGTATGACTCAGCAAGCCAACGTGCCTCTATTAGAAAAACACTTGAGCATGTGCTTGATATAACCATAAGGTCCATGGAAGTTAATGATGTTAATGTAAAATATACCTTGCATCAGACAGGCACAGAAATTTTATGTAGAGCAGAAAGATAAAATCTGAACTTGTTGAAGGGTCTCCTGAAAAGACGAAATAGGCCAACAGACCAGAGTGGCACAGACCCAAGAGAGTATGACAGAACAGAAAGCTAAAAGGTAGGAATCAATGCTACACATAAAGATACAGAGCAAAAGCAGGAGTAGGGCATGTATCTAGTGCCTAAGAGGAAGTTGAGATCAAGGGAAGGTGTAACAAACAAATAATCTAGTGTTTATTCCAAGGTATAAACAAAGTTATAGTCTAAGGATGGCAGAAGACATAGATTTGACACAGAACAAAATAACTATGTGGGAAAGTGAGCCCTGTGCTACGGGATGAAGGAACAGACAGGGAAATTTGGTGGCAGGAGGTAAGAATGATGGTGGAAGTAAAAGTCTGTGCCAGAGCCTGTCAATTACTTTCTCAAGAAACTAGCAAAATGTTAAAACAAGGAAGAAGAGTTGGGTAGGCTGTGGGAGTTCCAGGAGTTCCAAAATTATGGCAGGTACTGGAAGCAGCTATCTAGAAAAATTAAAACTGTTGGAGATTAGTGCCTTTCACAACAAAATAGACAACCAGCAAAAACTTTTGAAATTTCTCCTTCTCAAACAGAACACTTTCAACCATTCTACCATTTACTATAGATTTTGCAAACATTCAAGGTATTGAAGAGTTGATAAATTTTTCATTTAAGACAACAAAAAAATTATAAAAAAAAAGCTAAAGTTTCCATTTTGAAATCTCATTGACTCTAATTTTAAAAAAGTTTACAGTTTTGAACTGGAGCAAAACTTTAAATGCTAGCTGAATGAAACCTATGTAGTGACACCAATTTATTTTTCTATTGGATTTTCCAGAATGAATTAAAAAATAAAGTTAAATTTTCCATTTTTTCAAATTGCCAAGAAACTAAAAAATATCTTTAACTTGCTAAATTTGCATATCTCAAAGATGGTCTTGCAAAAGTATAACTCAAAACACCAAGATCACCTTTCCCCAAACCACAAGCTGCCATGAAATTGGAAGCATGCCTGAAAGTCAGAAAATTAAGCCTTCTTTTGGAATAAAAATGATGAAGAGACCATTGCAGAAATGCCTTGGGAAATCTCCCTACCATACTGAGAGGATTTCAGCTTACGGACTTCTTCAGAACACTGTACAGCTGTGACCAGCAGGGAGGCAGATGGAGAACTAGGGAGACAAAAACTGTGCAGTGAGTAATGCGTGTAGCCCCCATCTTTGCTCTCTAGCAATATCCCAAAGTACTTTTCTTCCCACGTCAGCAGGTAAGTAAAATGGGTATTATTTAGAAGGGATAACCACATGGTTTGTATAATCTTTATATGCTATTTTCAGTACATTATTATAATACATGGCAGACACCTACAAAATAGGATTAAAATTTGCTTTCTGTTTTACAGTTTTACCTATCCCATTTGGGTACAGAGACAGAGGTGAAGGCACTATAACAGAGTGCATTACTTCCACATGCTGTCCTTACCTTAATAATCATAGAACAATGCAATTGTTCCATGTGGGGCATATTATTAGGTTCCCCAGCTCAAATAAACATTTATCAGCCTTGCTGATAATTATTTGCTAGTAAATATTTGTCTGAATTGTGAAGTCCTGACTTTTTTTTATATTCCATTTCAGGCTACATGCATCTGTCTGCTTTGTGCCTTCTCAGTGTGGAATGCTGTAATATGTAGCAAAAAAGACAGGAAAAATGCAAAAGTATCAACTATAGGAAAGAAAAATCAACCTAAAAACTGAAATACATTACCCTTAAACTGTGTCCTTTCTCTCTCCAGCTCCCTCATTTCCTCTCATCCTTTTTTTGATAATGAAGTATCAGAATCCAAAAGCCATTTTTATTCTAAATTAAGGTATCCGCACTGCTCTAGGAACAATACCGATCAGGGTTTTTGTCTGGATACAGTGTATGCGTTCCAGTTTTCACTGTCATTTTTTTTAAGCATATACAAAACACTGCAGAAGCACATGTAAATCACCACTCTCTTGCCCAGTGGAACAGAATTTCAGTTACCAATGCCAACAGTTGCCTACAGAAGGCATCTACATCTGGTCTGCTACATCCAAGACAGCAACCACAGGCACACGTTTTGCTTTGTTTGGAATTCATCACTGTGGTGCAGCTGAGCCTCAGATAAAAAAAAGCTATGAGCCTCCGGGGTTAAACAGACAAATGTTTTCAGTCACAACAACTTTTTTTGCTAGGAAGCAAAGCCATAACAATGTATGTAAGAGGTTTTATGTAAATCATTAAAGGCCTACTGACTTAAATTGTTGCTAACACCAAGAAGTTGCTTAATGTACACTTGAGAGTGTGAAGGCAGAACAGATGAATAGTCTCACAAATCTTATTTGCTCAGTTGGAAAAATGCAAAAATATTTGCAAAAAAAACCCTCTGATTCCTGCTTATTGCTATTCAAATTTAAAAGTCAAATTAATATTCATCATTTCTGAGTGCATGATGGTTTTTACTGCGAGGCAGAAGGGGCAGATACAATCAGTAAACAAATCTACTTTCCAATCCACACAGAATTCAATACTTACCTAGCCACTCGTTGAATTTTTTTACTTCACTAGGAAGTCCCAGCTCAGTAAAATCACCAGCATGTATTAACACATCTCCATATGGCATTTGGATGGGATCAGTTCTTGAGTGAGTATCAGAAATACAGACAAATCGTGTATATCCTGGAGGTTTGGGAGCATCGTGGGGCACCGGATCAACCCTGTAGGAAACGCATCATAGCAAGGTTACAAAGTACTCATGTACTTCTTAATGTCTACTTTGCAATTCTAATACTATTTTTTACCTTTACAAATGATTACACAGGCTTCCAGATCTGTCTGATGGAAGGGATTTATTAAAACAAACATAACACTAATGGGAGGTGTAAAAATTCTTGATGTTCACATCACAACATTTTCAGTATTTGTTGGGTAGATGGATTAATTTAAAGAGATTAAGGAAAAGAGATTGGACTATGGCAGTAACTCTGAAACAAATACAAATAAATCAAAGACATTGCCAGTTTCAAAGGAATAGTACTATCCATTTCATTGTTTAAATATGATTACATGGTACACAGGGAAAAGATTTATTTCAGATACATAAATACATGTAAATGCATTTTTTTCTAATTATAACTTTTTTCTGCAAGTTTTTAATTCCAGTAAATTTAATTAACACATTTTGGAGATATGTTTCAGTGTGTTAACGCAAAGCAACATAAGAACTCTCCTGACAACAGCTGTAAACGTACATTCAAGCCTGACTATTGTCAGGACAAATGTGGCAACTTTCTGGGCTTAATTACACTGAATGAAATCAGGTGCTGTGAGGGGAGTCGCTGCATTGTTCAGAGCCCAATCTCTATATTCAAACCTGAGGAAACAAAAAGATCTGACCCGGTTTGATGAGATTTACTTATGATTTAGAAGAGGAAAGCAGAGACCACCTTTCTGCTGTAAGAGGAATACTTATTTTCAACTCAAACTTTTTACCCTCAATCCATATTTTCATAGAATCCTGGAATGGTTTGGTTGGAAGGGACCTTAAAGCCCACCTCATTCCAACCTCCCTGCCATGGGCAAGGACACCTTCCACCAGACCAGGTTGCTCAAAGCCCCATCCAACCTGGCCTTGAACACTTCCAGGGATGGGGCAGCCACAGCTTCTCTGGGCAACCTCCTCCAGTGCCTCACCACCCTCACCGTGAAGAATTTCATCCTTATATCTCATCTAAATCTTCCCTCTTCCAGTTTAAAGCCATTGCCCCTCATTCTATCCTTACATGCCCTCATAAAAAGTCCCTCCCCACCCTTCTTGTAGGCCCCTTTAGGTACTGGAAGGCTGCTCTATTTTGTTAGAATATATAGAAACAAATGTATCTAGATGCAGCTATACCATATCTGCTATTCCAGTTAGGGAATTCTGGTGGAATAAAATGAAAAAGCCAGAGATGTAAGACTTATATCTATGTCACTAGAAACCAGAGAGATACACAGAACTGTTATGAATTATTTTACTGTTACAACATTTATTCTGAAATGACAAACAAAATTAGTTTTGTTCACTGTTGCAGTATGTAATACATATTCCTATCCCTTGCTGGTTGTGTTTCAATTCAGGAGCTTACCTTTATATAAATAAACTCAGAAAAAAAGTTAGAGATCTTTGCCATTAATAATACTACCCCTGTTTACTGGGTAAATTTTCAAAAGGCATTTTATTGCTTCAAAGACATAAGATAATAATCTTTAATCATGCAATCTCTTCTCTAAGTCAAAGAATTCTATGAAATTTATAGGCGGGTAAACTGAGGTGGTTTTGACAGCTTCACAAGATTAGTGAGAGAGTGAGGAATAAATCTAAAAGATTCAAATCTTGTTAAATATAGAAAGAGTTCTTAGCATTTTCTACAATATAAGTACAAAACTAGAGTACGAACAAACTATTTTGTGCCTGTCTATCCTATACCTTTCTAGGAAGAAGAAATGTTGGGGGTTTTATAGCAGTCCTGGAGAAACAGCCTTTTAGTACAAGTACCTTGTAGTCATCTTCCTGAAGTTCCAGGTTTTGAGCAGAAAGTAGAAACATGAGGTAAGGAGTAAAACCAGCTGTGATCAAATCATACTTAATGAATACCCAGCAGTATGTACACGCTAGTGAGATATGTAAGCAAGCATGTACTGGAAATCGTAAAACTTGGCTGACAAAGAGTGGAACGTTTGGACCCTGCGAGAGAGCAGCTGCACACTCTGTGTGTAGGGCTGAGGGGGTGTGTATGCTGTGAGAGGACCACAGGCATTCACAGAAGGGCAGATGAAAAAAAAAGTTAGATGCAGGGCGAGTTAGGCATAGGAGCTCACAACCTCAAACAGTGCAGCTGTTTGACTGCCATCGCATGTTAAAAATGCCTCTGTTTTGGAGGGAAGAGAGCTGCCATAGAGCGAGCTCCATGGGTGGTGAGTGAGGTAGCAGGGGTGCAAAGGAATATGGACAGGGAAGGGTGGGTTTTAGACTCCTGAGTGAGGCTTGTCATACGGTGAGAGCTGTGTGAAGGGTTCATGGAGTTCCTCCACAAAATGAACTGGGATGGCTGCATAAAAATGACGAGGAGCTGACCCTGGCTAGTGTTGCAGCCGTTCAAGCTAAAAAGATTAAACATCAGTTCAGTAAAAAAACTTCTGATTATTGCTCTCCATGCCCAGCACTTCCCAAAGTGAGTTACAGGTCATATTAGTAAGCCAGCTTTAAATTACGCATACTACCCTGGCACAACATAAGGATATGGACTGGTCTAAAGTATCACTTTTTGACTTGTCATGGTAGGGTAGCCTTCAAAGCAGGTGCTGCTTCTCCTTCAGAAATCTTTTAAAGCTCAGCCCAGCAGTAAGCTGGGTGTTGGGGAGTAGCATGCATTTCACATGTTGCTCCCCTGAAGCTGAATGGAAAAAAAACCAGACTTACCATGGCAACCCATGCAGCACATAATGTACATGCTTTTTCTTATAGTTTGGATGGGCATGGGGAAGATTTGGATGGCATTTTCCTGGTTGCTGAGGTATATATAACTTTTAAATGCTGTGCACTGGGCCAGAGAATTTTCATGGGAAAATGGCATCAATACAAAAAAACAAATAAATGACATGCAGATTTTTCACGTTGAAGTGATATGCACACACTAAGGCTGTATATAGGTGAAAACATATGTCAGGTTTCACAAACACATCTAAGTTGTATTACTGGAAATAATTTCTGGAGGTTCAATCCTCATATTCTTGTGTAACGCATTCCCACAGCAGCTGTCACACCAACACCCAATTCACTGCTTGCAGTGTGAGCAGAGGAATAAAAGATCTGCTGATTATTTTTGTGCAAATGCTTTTGTTTTTCTCTAAACCAGTATGAAAACTTGCAGAGAAACTGAAAAGCAAGGTTAAAAAAAAATCTCAGAGCAAAAACACTGCCAGAGGTTAGTTTATACAGTAGATTTCAGTGGTTTCACAAAGGAACAAGAGAGGAACTTCCCAGAAATGACTGATGGACTTGAAAACACTGGCAGAATTTAACACCCTTCTTGTCAGTGGCAACCCAGTCATCTCACAAGCACAGGAATGCCAGACTCAGATGAGGCTAGAAAAGGGCTGTCAGCATCTTATGGGTGCTAAAAAGTGAAACAAGAAATATGGAACTGCACAGAGGACCAAGGAAGAGCTGGAAGATTGAATTCAGAAGAAAAGGAGCACAAAAAAAGACCCTGTGGTTGAAGTAGTTTACTACGAGTTCAGATGTTAACAGGTCTACGTGAAATCTGTTTATGATTACCTGCAGCATTACTAATCTGTGTATTTTGAACTATACACAAAGACATGGCAAACCGCTCGCCTCCCTGAAGTTAATGACAAAACTTGCACGGACCAAAGCAAGGCTAAGATTTCACCCATAACAATCATGTGAATAAAAGGTGCTTTTGTTACACTTTTTATGTGTACTTTTCCCTTCTTTGTTACTATTCTATTCATTGGTAGGAGGCAAAAGCAATCCTGCTGGTATTCAGAAACATTATTTACAATTTCTGTACCGAGCGAAAGAGTAGGTCAGATTGTGGTAAATGTTTCAATTGATTTAGCCTGTTTTTCTGTTTGCACAAGCTTCTTCAATAGTATTAATCATTCATGAGGGATTGCTAAACTCTTCTGAGGGACCATTTTCTAAGGATAGCTTATTTTCAACTACTTGCTTAGGTGCTGAACTTCTATCATGCAGTTGATTGTTTAAGCCCCCTGGTAGTATGATTTGTTACTGGTTAGAAGTTTAAACAGCATATTGTTGCGTACCAAGTGGATACTAATAAATAACTTATTTTCAGCCCAGTAAAAAACATTCAGCTTTTAAGACCAGTGAACTACTTCATGAGTGCTCCGAAACTGTCTGAATAGCCACAAAGAATAGCTAAGCCTCGACAAATAAAGCAACCTGCATTTGGCATTTTCATTTGTAAAAGTATTTCTGAACCCACATTTGTTTATTTGTACTTTTGCTACCATTTGTCAGCTCTATAAACAAAAGATGTTTCCCAGTGCTAGCACCCAACTCACTTCACTGTTTGCATTTCAATAGTACCTAAAAACCCCCAACACAGACTATAAGCTAATACACTGTACCCAAAAACTGAGTGTTTGCTCACCATCCTGGTATATATGTTAGTCTTCAGATTTTTTAATATAGTATCTAATTTTGCCAAAGAATATACATACGCATTCACTAAATACAGACATAGCATTCAACCAGTCATAACAGCTGAGTTTTTTAACTGCAGAAATCACGGCCTATGTTTGTAAATTATCAAATCATATTAAATACCAAAAATCTGAATGAGGTGATTATTTATTCAGACTTCCTAAAGAAAAAAAAAGTGTCATTTAAAAAAAGAAAACCAGCCTTCTCATCTAAAGATAAGGCTGCTTCTCTCTTTAATAAACACAATAAAATGATGCAGACATTTTTATTCCCTATAAAAATACTTTACAGTAGAATTTTATACTTAATTTATTTGTAATAGCTTTACTGTTTTGCTCTTCCTTCTGGCTCTAAACTTTATGGCAGGTTTCATTTTGTAATTATAATTCTCCGCTTTACAAGTAAATCATTTAGAGCAGTTAATTTTACTGATGTTGTCATTATATAAGAAGTCAGAAACAAACACATTATTTTAATTACTCTTTAAGCACTTGGCATCTTCGGCACATCGGTATGAAAGTAAGTTGTCGGATGGGTGCCCACATTATTTTATTTATTGGTGTGATTTTTCCCTGTATGTAGCTGTAATATAACTAACCAAACGGTATGTGTTGTACAGATACAGGCTTGGTATTTTCAGCAGCTATTTACATCAATAAGCAAGTGCACAATGCAAACAAACATTATTAAGATTGCAGAAAGTATCATCCTTGTAGCATCTCTTATTTTATTACCACTGCTTGTTTATTTCTCTTTTTAATACGCAAGTACTATGCATTAAAGTTACGCTAGTGGAGTGATCTTTCTCCCATCCTTTAACAAAGTACTTATACTTTCCAAATGGACTGATTTTGTATCATTATAGCAATTATTATTAGAAAGGCAGCAAAACAGCGTTCTTTGAATTCTTTTTGACTGGTCCATCAAATACCACATCGACAAGGCAATAACAATTCAGAAGGCTGTGCTAGAGCAATAACAAAACTATAATACTTACATTTGCACATGTGGGGGCTGAAAACGTCCCTGGTTAATGTTGTAGAACGTGAAAGCCTGTGTGGGGTTGGAGCTGTACTCATCCACTTCAATTATGAGTCTACTGTGCTGATGCCTTCTAGCTGCCATAATGTGCGACTGGGCAAAAGCCATGCTTGCACTGTGTAGTTTGGCTTTTTCAGGCGATCATATCTGCTATCTTCCTACATCGATGGAAGAAGACCATGACATCTCCTTACCTAATCAGCACACTCTCCTTCGAAAAACCTAAAAGTAAATTGAAGAGATGGAGCAAAAATGTTTGAAAGTTAATCTATGTGGAATTTGCCTTATGCAATATGGGATGAAGATGAAGGGGGCATATGGAGGGACAAAGACACACCGCTGAAAGAACTCATCACAAGTCGGGGGTTGGAAGCAGGAGGTGGAAGTAAACTTGCTAAAGAACAAAGGGGCAACTCACTCAAATGATTTCAGACATGTAATACAAATCTAAAAGACATGGCAGTCATTCATAATGGTCCGTCAAATAATAATGTTTCTTCAACACAATCGTTTACTTCCCTTTCTTTTTTTATTGCATTGCTGAATGTTTATTCCCCATCCTCCTTCAAAAAAACCCCACCAAATCTGAAACTGAATACACGGCTGTGCACGACTAAAATGTGAGTTAATTAAACAAGAATCAGTTTAACCAATTCTTCAGAAAGTCTGTGCCATTTATTACGGGGAAGCATTGCAAGTGGTTGTTCTTTACATCCTAAGGAACAGAGCAAACAGCGTTCTGTGCACTTGCTCCTGGTTTTACAGTATCACTGCAGGGACCCCTGACACAGATATGAAGGGCTCCCCCCTCCAAATACATTCTCTTCTCAGTCAGCACGAGCCCAACATTCTGGATTCACTGGAAAAGAAAGTGATTCAATGGCTAACACACAGTTAAATGTTATTAAACATTAAAAAAGTAAAATCCATACAGGTTTTATGTTTGGGAATAAATTTTTCCCTGAAGGTTATGCAAGTCTAGAACAGCAGCATTGAAAATGGGTAGAGGAACAGCAAAGTGAAACGAACTGGAATGCAAAGAATATCCCCTAGAAACAGCAGAAAGTAATTTAAATGTGAATTTTACTTTTTATTTCCCAGTTTTAATAAAAAATGGATTATAAGCTATAAAGGTGGGTATTTTTACAGTATAACTTTGCATCCTTTTTAAAAGTTGTCTGTCTTAAATATTTACTTTTATGCAAGCAAGGGCTCTTTTCTTCTTCGGAATACAAGTAATCTGCTTCAGAAGATATATTTCATGAAAAGTCATGCTAGAATTTAGCAATTCACTTAATATGTGCGGTTTCTGGAAAGCAGGACTACAAGTATTTTATGTGACCTTGCTGATGTGCCTTACTTCCATTCTGAAGAGACCACTGCCAAGAGTGATAGATGAGGGAGGTCTTCAGAGTCACTCAAATTTTTAAAGCTATTTACAGGTACTTAGGTCCAATTCAGTTCAAGCAGCAATCAAGCACCTAAGCATCTTTAAAAATCTGGGCTTCAGTCCTTTGCTTAACTACTACAGATGTTAAGTGCTCCAAGAAGTGGTGGTGTATTTTTGTTTTGGGAAATCTTCTTCCTGGGAAACTGAAATGAGAGATTCAGCTCAGTTTGTTACTTGCTGAATGGTTGTAAAATGATGACAACTTGCTGTCACTAACAACCCGCAGGAAAACAGTCTGAGAATAAAAGAGCAGATCACTTCATGCCCTCCCCTAGAATTGAGTGGTAAGGAAATGGTAGAATAACAACAAAAAAAATTCTGGATTTTAAACACTCTCAGATGCCACATTCAGGCTATGGACCGAGCAGCAGCACAAAGGAATGTGCCAGAGCAGGGGGAGGGAAGGGAGGCACCATCCTTGTAAGAATAATCAAGTACAAATTGCTGCATTTAGGAAATAAGAAATTATGACGGCAGATGTGAAGAACCCTCCCTGAGGAGCTTCCTGTATTAAATGATGCATTTGTAAAGAAGTTTGAATAGGCAAGGTCAGAGATTTTATGGGGGCAAACTCTTCTAAGTGAACCTACTTCTGTTTGAAAGAAACTATTAGAACTGGTGACCTCTAGAAATATTCTCCAGTAAGATTAATAATTTATGATTCCACAGCTCTACATGAGGATTTCAAACTACCTGAAAAACACAGCCTTTGTTTTATAACTCGGGGATTATGCCCACTTTACACACAACTGAACCGCAGCTACAAAGGAGTTAAGGCACTGCCTGAGGGACCTAAAATCTCGCTTTGGCTTTAGCAAGTTCTCAGGAGCTCAGAGCAGCTGAGAAAACGGCTTGTTTTCAGCCTGGTCTTTGGGTCCTCTCTTTTATGACTCCTCTCAAGTTATACATCAAATCTGGTGCAGAAACAGCAGATGTATGCAGGTATCCCAATATCCACTCCTAAGCCCTGCTTCCTCTTTCTGAGTAAAAGGGGAAAATAGCACTTACCAACACAAACTAACTCAAAGGAATAAATTTGTCTGCAAGTAGAAACCAACCACAACGAGTACACCACTGATACACCCTTTTGTGGTGAAGAGTTCTTTTAAAGCAGGAAATGAATCCCTGCACATGGGAGAGTGTGTGAATCACACCATTAGGCCAGCTTGAGAGGATGCTAGCCACAGACATTCAGCAAGAAGTTCACAACATAAACATGTAGAAAATGGGAAGACAACATATTTCACTTGAGCTAAGGGAAAAAAAAAATAAGACAAAAAGAAGAGGGGAAAAAAAAGAAAAAAAAGGATATGCCACAGCGCTGCTAAGCCTTCTGCGAAATGACAGTCACCCAACGTCAATCCTGGACACATAAAAAGCATCCAAGACTGGAAAAGAAAAGAAAGAGCCAGATCCTGCAATAAAAATAAAATAACTAGCAATCATATGAATAGCCTGTGCTATACAAAAATCAGATATGTAACACACATAATCAGTAAGCATAATTCAATAGCAAGCTTAATTCAAGCTCATTTCAGAAACATACACAGATGTCTTTGAACCTTACCTTTCAGTCTAGGGTTTTCTTTCTGCATAAGTGGTTGGCTGACTACTAACATTCTTGGTGTTCGACAGAACAAGCTGTCTCTTTCCAGCTTGACTGATAACCAGACTGACACCCATTACTCCCCTCTTTCTGTTTCCATTTCCAATAGTCCCCCAAATCGTAACTTTTTCTTTCTTTTAGTATTCTGAAATTTCTTCCTTTCCCAAACCCGAGTACAAAATGCAGCAGGGAAATAATTATCTGCTTCTATAGCATGCAAGTTTTAAAATTATATGCCCAGCATTACCAACACAGAGCATTAAGACTCAAATCCCCACAGCAACAACATGCTAACCATCCTCTTCCCCCAGACTTATGGAGCTGCGGGATGTCTGCCAGGGAAAAACAGAGAAATGTAAAAAGGACTGCAAGAACATGAATACTAAAATAAATATCACAAACCTGGCTGTTAGAATCACAGTCTGAGAAAAAGCTATTAAATCAGCTAAGCCATCTTCTTACTGATGGCAGGAATGTTCTCCATACATTATTTTTCTGCTACTTTCTCCAGCATGTGTTCACGTATTCACAGAGCTCTGACCCAAAGCCCACTGTGTACACTGGACAATGCTTCACCATCTTCAGAAGGCTTTGCATCAGGCCATAAACTATGTGGATTGCAGTATCTCTCCTGAGGAATTATTGGACTAGGCAGGTGCTTAAACCCAGACGTATATTTAATTCCTGTGATAAGGTCCCCAACTAAATCTTTGTATTAAGATTTTTTTTTTTACTTCTTCAGCCTGAAATTTCTGCTATTTTCATCTCACAGCCTTCTTGTATAGCTGGCACAATTATTTCCCTCCTTTACATGAATTTTCCAGCTTTTTTATGCATCCTAGTTCTCTTTTTTCAATTTCAAGACAATGTTTTATTTTAATCTTTCTTCACTCACAGATTCTGCTTTATTCTATGTTCATCCTTAAGCTCACTCTCACATCCACTGTCTCTCGCCTTATCTCATTCCATTGTCTCCACTGTTCCCTCCATCATCTACCCTTTGTCTCCAGCCTAAAAACAACACTGAAACAACAATTTTCAACATTCTTGAAAATCATTCCAGCAACACACAATTTGAATCTAGACTTGAAAACATGGCTCAAGCAGATGTCACTGAAATAAAAATTAGAAACCAGGATAAAATACTCATGATGATAATGATAATAAAAAAGAAGTTATACACTAAGAGAGAAAACTGTGAAGGAGTTATCTGTTGAGCAATGAACTTCACTACATTACAAAAAATCCAGAGGTCAAGAAGCACAACATGGCTAGAGCACACTCCAGCAAGAGTTTAAGAGGGGCAGCTGCCAGATTTTGCACTAATAACAGTGAGATAACATATAGAAAGAAGAGGACACTGGAAACGTCGGCAGTACCATGATCAGTGGCAAAGAGGCAGCTACAGAAAACATGTTAGTTTTGTTCAGACAGTCTGACAAGCTGGGATTTGGGGAGGCAATGAAGAAACAAAATGCAGGATCAAAAAAAAAAGGTGTTTTCATGCAGCCATAAAACATCAAAGCCATATTTTTTCAGGGATAGCCAGTAAGAAAATAGCAGTAAAATACCTTAAGAGCATGAGAGTTTGTGATAGACCACATAGTGACACACTTGCTTCTTGTGTAGATCTTGGATACTGTTAAGCAGAAACCCTTGCAAGAGCTTTATCAAGGGTTCCGGTCTTCCCCTATACTGCACTACAGTGCTCTTCACAAACCGTCAGGTCATCCTGTACACCAGGAGGTAGACCCTTTATTTAAACCTTTAAAAAGTGCTACAGAGTATCCTGCAGCAAGGGTCCCAATTGTCACAGTAACATTCCTATAACCACTAGCGATTGTCTTCATTATCACAAATAACTATTTTTGGTCCCGTCCGTCCGTCCCCGCCCCCAAAATCTTGTTATAGACTGACTAGCAATAAGCGAACATACTGGGACCAGTAAAGCAATCACTTACTATGAGAAATAGGCTGAAACTGCTAAAGGTTTTTTGCCATCTAAAATACCCATTTCAGATACTCCAGATACAAGTCAATCAATGGAATTAGTCTGCTATCTTCCGTATACTGAAATAATCCTAAAAAGGCATTTATTCTGTGGGAAAGGAAGAGCCAGGCAAATCACTCTGCAGATGAGAGCTTTTCCAAAGGGATACACTCTCCT